ATGATGTGTTATATTATTTTCACAAGTAATTTGACCAGGGGTGTCCAAAATTTTATGCATGACTGTAGCACATAAAATGTTGATTGGATGCAGTAAACAAGACTCAAAGACTGAAATAAGTAATTGAATAAAATTTAGTACAATATCAATTCTACAATGAAAATGATATATGTAGTAAAATACAAAGAGACAAAATAAATAAAAATTTGAGCTCCCATCTGGACATCTTACACTCACGATTCATGAGTAGCTACTATATTTAATAATATACAACCATAAACCTTAGTTTAGACACAGCAGTAGGAAGTAAATAAGCAAATTACACATTGACACAATGGATGCAAAATATATCATTTGGTAATTATTGTTGTGGTGTTGGCCTTTGCAACACTGATATTGCAGAAAGCTGTAATATTCAAGTGAGGCCTTCAACAGACTTTTATTGTGTTATATGTGCACACTGACTAATCTTAGAAACTTTAGATGAGTTTCGGTGGGTGTTTTGATGTGTCAGGTCATTCACGTGAAATAATTCTGGTTAAAATAATGAAAACTTTAGTCACGTCACAACAAAAGTTCAACATTGTGATGAGTGTGGGATGTATTGTCAGGCATATAACATTTGCAATAAGTAGCAGTATAATCACGGTACGGTATTTTGTCCATATCGTGCAGCCCCAGTACTCACATATATAGAAGGCAAAAAACAAAATAAAACCTTACAGCAGGGGTCATTAAACAGATTTGACCTGGGGCCAGATTCTCACAGTGCAAATATTCTTTGTGCCCAGCCCCCCAAAATCCCAACTGCCCCCAACAACACCCCCCATCATATCTTGTTTTTAAACTCTTGCCATGCTAATCTTTTTAACTCTTGACACTTTTCCTTTAAAATTGTAAAAATAGGTGCATAATCAAAGAAACACAAAAAACCCTAGTATTTATAACAAATAACACTAAACAAGTAAGTTCAACAATTTAAACTGATGTTTAACATTTAGCAGTCTGAAGGGGAGCTATTAGTACTCAAGTATCTTTTGTGGGCATCATTGAAAGAGTTTGAGCTTGGCTTCACCAACAGAGTTTGAGCTTGGCTTCGCTTGCTTTTTCACCCTCTTGAACGTGCTCTGGTTGCTGTCTTGTGACACTTGTGACACATTTATGATAGAACGTGCTCTATATATGCAAATAGAGCTCCATAGGTGTTGGCGGTAGAACAGTGTTCAGCGCCACATAATTTTGAGCCAGAGAACTTCCTCACAGGCTCAATCTAGCCCATGGGCCACTATTTGGTGATCAGTTTTACACTGTATCTTGTAGTCACCGTTTGTTGACATATTTTGGTGAAAGAAACATCTTTAACATCTTTACAGAACAAATAACTAAATAACTAAAACTAAGCAATTATCACAGGTATAAAGGTGGAAGTTCTTTCTAGTCAGTAATTTTCTAATTGCCCATATGTTGCAGGCTGCAGGCCCTACACAATACCTCCCTGTGAGCACCATGTTAATGGCACACGGCCACCATGCTCAGGTGAGCAGAACACCCCCGATTGTGTGAAGCAGTGCATTGAAGGATACACCCCTTCCTACTCTAAAGACCTGCACTTTGGTAAGCATTTCCAACTGAAAATCTAACATTAGCATAAGCTTAAAATATTTTATTTTATTTTATGTGGGGTTTATAAGAGATCATTTATAACCTATGAATGAAAGTGATACATAACTGAAAATACACACAGATGCCAATGTCATTATTCTATTCACATATTATGCTTTTATGCCCATAGTCTCTTTTGCTGTGTTTTCCCCTTGCAGGCCAGCGCTCATATAGCATTCCCTCTGACCCCAAGCAGATCATGGCTGAGATATACAAAAATGGCCCTGTGGAAGCAGCCTTCACTGTCTATGAGGATTTCCTTCTTTACAAGACAGGTTATTTTCATCAACAGCTTTGCTGCTGATACAGATGTCTTCTAGAGCAGTGTTTCTCACCCTGGTCCTGGAGGCCCACTGCCCCTTGCACTTTTTATTCTTTTCCCTCATTCTCCAATATCTATTGGATTCATAATGTGCTCTTAAACCACAGAATTGTTCGCACCTTTGTGCTCTTGATTGTGCATAGATTCTGTAATTATCTAAGAACAAATCCCAAATAAGAAAACGTTGGTGAATGTCAGAATCTTCGTGAAAACTGTGTGTATCTGAAGAAGATATTTCTTCTTAAGAAAGGTTGGTGAATGAGGCCAATTGAGTTACAGTGGCAATGGCAGGAAAAGCTTTAAAATGTGCAGGGCAGTGGGCCTCCAAGACCCCAGCTGAGAAACACTGTTCATGAGTGAATCTGAAGCTAAATCTGTCTCTAGTCATAATGACTATCACCTTTTTTAAAGACTGCACCACACTTACACTGTTAGAAATAAAGGTTCTGTGCAGTTACAGTTTTTGTCCATTAAGGTACAAACAATGTAAATGTTCCCTCAAAGGTACAACAGTGGTTTTAAAGTCCAATTGTGAACCTTAAATATTTTTTTTTTCCAGGTGAAAAGTACGTATTTGCAACTTTTCATAACCTAATGTTTAAAACAGAGCAATAAAATAAAAAGCCTGGAGAAGAGACAGGGTGTGTGAAGTCAATACAACCTAGAAAATATAATTTCAATGGATTATGGGACAATTATGTTCCCTGACTAAAGGTACTGAGAGGTACCCTTGAGGGTCACTCCAGTGACAAGAGGGGTACAGCCCCAGTGACAGTATCTTGAGAGTGTACGGTACTGCTAAATTGGCTGTATATGAACATCTTCAAATCCAGCCCTTAGCTTTTTCTAAAATTGCTCTATCAGAAATTAGCCCACTTATAAAAGTAGCATCCAAAGTGCATTTTAAAAATCTTTCACTCAACCTCCATCTTCTTTAATCCTTTTTTCCCAAGGAGTGTACCAGCACGTGACAGGAGAAGTGCTGGGTGGACATGCCATTAAGATCCTTGGCTGGGGAGAGGAGAATGGCACCCCCTACTGGCTGGCTGCTAACTCCTGGAACACTGACTGGGGAGACAAAGGTAGGAATTCAGGGGGAATTCCACATTTTTTTAATTCAGCATAACTGGCACATTGAGAAGATAGCCCAAAGATAGCCATTTTGTTTATGATCTAATCAACCCTGTAGGCTACATGTGTCTTCTGAGTTTTTATGTAATTGTAATTTATGTTATGTAATTTTGATAGTGCTAACATTGTGGTGAATCTGTTTTCACATTGTTAAAGTTCTTTCATATTTAAAGGGGAATTCCATGAATTGTTTAAAATTTCTGCATAGTTCAATCGTTATGATGTAAACAAAGTCATTGAGAGCATTTTGATGTGAAATGCTTGTTGTAGAGAAACTTACTAACTCAGATTTCTTTTCAGTGGTGGTGATGTGAACCAGGGGTTGCAATGTCTGCAAAGCAATTACAGACATTTTATATGCTATCTAAAATTACCAGTGGACCTAAACATGTCTTCTTTGTTTTTGTATCTAATAATGGTAATGATTAATCTGGAAAAAATAAGTTTTCTTTCTGTATTTGTTTGCCTCATGATGCCTCTCCGCCATGATTTTTATTTTCTAAAAAAAGATTTTTAGGCAAAAATCTATCTTCAAACTATCATAAATAAATGTCTCAGGCATAAGACAATGCACTAGCAGCCATTTCATGTAACAATCGTCTATGATGAATCTTTTTGGCATCAGCCAACAAATTTGTGACCATTTCTTTCTGTGAGGTGGCTTTTAAAGGCTTTAAACACTTTGCACTCTAAAATCAGATGTGTTAACACATACCGTCTCTAATTAAACACATCAGTGTGTTCATTGGAGACAACACATATTGTGTTACTTTTAACACAGAATGTGTTAAATCAGAAAACACTGTGACACAAGAAGTTTAAAACAGGTAACACAAGTAAGTGTGTTGTTATTTAACGCATCACCTTTGTGGACTGTGAATCCCTACTGCTACCACTGTACACAGTTCTGACTCTGGAGTTTCTAATTAAATCACTGGAGTGATTTCTCATTAAATCACTGGAGTTCACTTATAAGTATGCTTACCATCATATCGCAGTAATAGTGTACATCCTCTGTAATGTTCCTAATCCTGAAAGCTTTTTCTCTTACGCAGGATACTTTAAGATCCTGAGAGGACAGGACCACTGTGGTATCGAAAGTGAAATGGTTGCTGGTATTCCCAAGCTATAAGAGAAAATCTGCTCTCTCGACTGATCCAGACTGGAAACTGCATTGGGAGCTCTTTAGTCTTTGTAATTGTACATCACAGATAAATCATTTCAGATGCATTATGGCTTTTATAAATTCTGTACTGTAATTCTATTCAGGTGGTATTATGAAACACAGTATTAAAATATGCTTTTAAAGAACTTTTAACAGCCTGTATAATAAAAATGATGTAATTACTCCTCTCTTTCCCCCCATGAGTGATGATGTTCACTGTGAAATGTTGATCAATGTAATTAATAAAAGATATACACTGACCTCAAGAATTGTTAAAAAAAGATAAGCAACAATGGCTATGAAAAAAGTTTATTTTATGCTGAAAGTGTGAAAGCATCAGTGTGATACCTGTATTCAATCAGTGGGGTAAATGTAGTCGACGTGAAAAATCTTATATAAGTCAAATAAAAATGTATTTCAATGCCATTTAAATTGCAAATAAAAAGTGTCACAATTATTGGCAGGCCTTTATTTCATACCTTTAACAGCCTCCCTTTGCCACTACAAAACCACTGAATCTGCTCTTTCATTTTAGAATGTGGAGTAAGGACACCACTGTTAATTCCTGTTTGCAATTTTATTATACTGTTTTGTCAATGGTGTCTTGTTCTGTTGAAACATTTCAAAGCAAAACGATGTTCCCTGACCGGGAATCGAACCCGGGCCGCGGCGGTGAGAGCGCCGAATCCTAACCACTAGACCACCAGGGAATCTTTAAGTAAAGATGTAGGAAATTGTTGTCAAACTGTTTCACATTATCATTATGCATGGGTGTTTTGTTAAATGTGTTCTAGCAAAATGGAGAAAACTCCAAAACACAATGTTCTTTTGGACAAAATTAAAAAACAGACTCCTCTTTGCATTGACATTACGTAATGAGATTTGCTTAGCTGGTGTACAATATGTGTACGGAACGTCAACGTGAGAGGTGGAGCATGAATAATCGGGCCTATCAGCAAATGCGCGTATAAATAAACGTTGTTGGCAAACCTACACTGCCCGCTACGGTGCTTGACTGCGTTACACCTGGCTATGGGTTAGCTATTATATAAACCAGCTACTGACGGCGTGCTAACACTGTAGCATCTGGTTAAATATTGTGTGGACTTTATTCCAGACCGTTTTTGCAGAAACATCCTTCTGGCGCCACGAAAAACTACGAATAGCGACGACGGGTGGTGCTAAACCAACGGAAATAAAAGACATCGCTAACCAGCCAGCCAACGTCTGACGGGCTTCGGGTAAAAGTGCTGTCGTTGCTGCTGATGATGATGGTAGTATGACACTACAAGATGTAGCTTTATAGGTGAGTTTGTCATTGTTGATGTTTATTAAAACGACAACCGTTAACTAGCTAGCATAGCAAGCTAAGGAACAGGTCAACGAGGAACGCACTTTCTAGATTTCTCTTTTGCATTAATTTCCATGAACATAGTGAGTGTGTTGTTTAATTCTTGGCTGCCTAGCAGCTAACCTAAAGCCATTGTCTATTAAGCTAACGTTAACGTGGGTTTGATGAAAACCAAGATATCTAGCTTTCTTGTGAACATCAGCTAACAGTTAGGTTAGCTTTTAACATTGTAGTCTTTTGTGAACATGGGCAATTATCATGATAGTAGATATGACGTTAACACGATTGTTTACGTTTTGCTGGCTTTTGGCTGGGCTAATCGAACATTTTTCGTAGCTAGTCAACAGAATGGTCTGTAATGTGATTATAAAGAGGATGCTGCGGAGGTGTTCATTAAAACAAGCAATCCAAGCCCTTTGTCTAAATTGTCGTTCAAACGAGATTCTGTAGCTAGCTTTTCCACATACATAGCTACATGTCCTAATTGGTCTGCTAAGGTTTGAGGGGGTGCGAACTGTAATAATGTTTAAGATCCGTATTACCCCTAAGCTGCTTGTTGTAACAAACTTTGCATGAGCCACTGACCCATGTACTGCCTGGAGATGATATTTATCTCGTGCACGTTTTCTTTTTGTAGGAAAGGGGTCAGGACTTCTTCTGAACCAGGAACCTGGAGTTTCCTGCCTGCCTGCGTGTGTCTTGACACCTTTTGCCCACCACAATGGAGAAAAAGGAGAAGAGGCCTGGCTATTTTGCCAGGTACATTAACCGAAATAAAAGGCTGTGAGAGAAATGGACAAAGGTTCAGGCAAATAATAAGCAAAAAAACGCAGAATTTAACAGTGTGCTTAATATGTGAAATGGTTTCAGTCACAGTAAACAGTGCTTCGGCATAAAATATTGTTGTGGAGTGATTATAGAGTAATAGCATTGTCATGCAGAACCAGGATATTGGAATTAGATTGTATACTTTAAGGGCCTTTGACAAGTCTTTAAGCAAACTGACTGTGGTGGAATCTTGTCACATGAGCTGTTCTTTAGCATGATGCATTCTTTTTTTGATGTACTGTATTGTATGCCAAGCATAATAGTCATAATAGGCTGACATGGATTCTTTATTGGGAGACAGGGAAAATTTGAAAGTGGGTCAGGTAAATGTAGAAGAAGCCGAGCTACCTGCCTTTTTCCTTGATCAAACATCTGACTTAGTTTTACACTTGTTTTTTTCGTTTGCTGGCTCAGGTTTTACAGCTTCGTCTCATGCAGATATGATTTGTGTATGATGTAAATGTCACCAAGTCTCTCTTCTTATGAAAGCCTCATTCTTTACATAGTTACCTATGATTTCATAGGAGTGTTGTTCTACTTGTGGATTTTTCCTTTTTTTTGAAGGGGAAAAAAATAGCCACACCGTTCAATGTGTTATCAGGTACACAGCTAACATGGGCTGCCAAGTCTTCATTGGAAAACTTTCACTCATGCTTGCTGTAGCTTGCTTGCTCTCTCTCCCTGTCATGCGCTTGCTCGCTCTTTCCCATCTCTCTTGTGCAAGCTGGCTGTGGTACGTCCACACCCAGCTAATCGAAGTGCAGGAGAGGGGAAGCGGAGTCATGTTTGGACATCAGACCGGCAGCAGCTATGAGGGCAGCAGCAGCTGTGACAACAACAACCAGAGCAGTGGGACTTCAGGCAAAGACATAATCAGCAGTGCCTGTCACAGTGCTGGCAAAAGCAGTGCCAGTAGTTCTGCAGTGGGAGTTCCCCAGCTCATCGGTCTGTTTTTGAGGTTTAAAAGCTCCACTGAACACAGTACATTCGACTGGTGAGATGATTGTGTGGCCTGTGTGTCTTGAGGGAGTGTGTGAGTGTTCTTCTTTCATTCTGCACTGCCTAACATCCTTGTGCCTTATATGGGTAATGAACATTTTCGAGAACAATACTTCTGGCATGTGGATGTGTATGCAGAAGACATTGTAGATATTTCTAGAAGGCTTGCAGAAACTGTATTTGTGGGTTCTAGAGTGGAAGCTTGAGAATAATGCTAAAAAAGTGCTTATTAACATAGAGTACATAGGCATCTGTCTTGGTCTATAACCTCTCTAATTGTCTTTTGCATTTGTTGGCCAGGGTCAAATTATACTTTTTTTGGTTAAAAGATCCATTTGCCTTTTAAAGTGATGATATTATGTTCCTTCAGTGCATAGGCATATACTTAAGGATAGTTGAATCAAGATAAAGACTGAACTAAGACTAAACAATATGGTTGATGCTTTACATTTTTAGGGCTGCTCTGATATGGGAATTGTGGGCCAAAGCCAATATCCATTCTACATATCTGCCAATGCTGATACATATACATCTGTAAAATGTGGACATTGGGATGAGATGCTCCTGGACTACCATTACAGAGAAATGTAACACTTATTTGTATAGGGTTACAAATGCAGTAAAATGAACAAAATGCAGACATTTTAGCACAGCAGCTCAGCATTTCCTAAGCATTCTGCTCTTCTTAAGTACAACACGAAACATCTGTCCAATGCCGATAATATTTTAAAGCAAATATTTGAATACTGATGTGATTCCGATATCTTCTTGCATCTCTACAGGTTTCTGTGATTTAAATATTGTGATATTTAAAAATTAATAATAGATTAAAAACTTTACCTAGATAACTATTCTTAAATGAAGAATGTTATTTTCCTGTAATTTACTTACTTATTGTGCCGCAGACTACACAAACATTGTATGTTTAAATCCACAGAACATCTCTGGAACCTATCAGCACTTTATATGCAAATACTGGGAAAGGGCAAAGGAACTTAAACAAATATTCTCTGAGCTAGTGGACGTGTTGCGTCACTTCGTGCGTCCAAAAATTTGAAACCTTTGTTTTTAATGAAAGTATGCACACTGGCATCAACATGCAGCGGTGCTAGTGACTCCGGCAGCCAGTCTTTTAGGTAAACAGACAAATGCTAATGCTAACTTACCTCAGCTAAAGTTACTATCCCAGCCTTTTTCAGCTCCTATCTTTCAGCTCGAAAACGACCAGTGTATAAAGGTAGTAAATGGGTGTAGCAAATGAGGTAGTAAACAGACGCCGAGCATGATAAGTGATAAATGCTTTATTTCGTGAATGCTTTATTTTGTTCATTTTATACGAGTAGAGTGTAAAAATGAACCTAGTTTTATGGGCTCCCCTGCCAGCATTCTCTAGCAGCACTCTGCTACGTGACGCTACGCTACTTGACGCGGCTCGTATGGTGTGCAGTGACCTTTACAATTTTAATGTTGACTTCATACACAAAAGACAGAAAACGGGTCTAGTCAGTCCTGCCGCCATTTTTAAAATGGAAAGTTTTATTTGTCTATAGGCAAATTAGAGTTCATTGTTTTAGAAATATAACATTACCAAAATAGTACAGTTACTGTGGCCCAAAAAAATCATGATGCATATTGAACCGTGGGCCCAATCTATTGTTGCATCCCTAGTCTACAGGGGGAGATAAAGGCCATAGTTCAGTGTTCTGGTTAGGGTTAACTGGCATAATATTTCAGTTATATTACTGCATATTTCCGATTGCAGTATAGCTTCTGGTATATTTACAACATGTCAGAGTGATCAGACTTCATGACGCACGGTATAACGTTGAGTGATGAGTTAGAGGCGTATTGCATATTGCGATATCAGTATTGTCATGATAATGATTAACATATGATACACTGTGCAGTCCTGGACTGAACTTATTGGACATTTGACATCATCCATTTGATTTGAGATCAGCCTGTAGCCTTGGCTAAACTAGGCTTTTTAGCATTGTGATAAGTGATATTGAATATTAGTATTTGGCTTGCTTCTACTCATTGTGTTCAGAGCCAGCAGGTGCTTTTGATTAGTGCATTCCACACACAGGAATTTCCCTGCTAGACTACCTCAGCTGTGTAATGTTTTGCCACTGACTGTACTGAAATCTTTAGCAGATGTGCGTTGGTGCATTGTTGTTTGAGAGCAGTCAGTGCAGTGACTGTTGCTCTGTCTCCAGCTTTATCGATTGACATCCCTCTCACTCCATTAGAGAGCTCATTGCACCCCTCCTTTCTGTTTCTCCCTTCCTTGCTCTCCACTTCATCACTGTTTGCATTCCCATACATGTGATACAAAATGTCCATTATTTATTTATCCAATTTTCTGACTCATCTTATTTTCCAACTCTTCATCTGATTTCTTCGCTGGCATAAATCCATCTGTGAGCTGAACTGCAGTGCAATTAGAGCCAGGCTCAGCCATATTGGCTCCCTGTGCTTCAGCTTTGCTTCTCTTAGAGGTCTGTCAATAAAGTGGAGAGAAACTCCCACTTTTGCCATAATAAGTATAATAAGGATGATGTGAAATATTTTGTGGAAAGAGGAACTGTGTTTCTGTGGTCAGTGTAAACTGCCTTGGCTGAAGCAGAACAGCACATCATTGGAAAGCTCACTATTCCTATTTAAGCTGAAGTTTAAAGTGATGCACATTGTCATGTCATTGTGCGACTCTCAGGCTGAAGAAGAGGCGACAACTGAAACAGAGCCAATCGGAGAAAGCTGTGACTGAGGAGAACCATTCAGATCCAGAGTCAAAGGGACCAATCATCTGCGCACCCGCCCCCACTGAACAGCTTCAGGAGAAGAACCTAGAAGGAGAGAAGTGCAGCAAAACTGAGAGGACTCTGAGTGAAGGTTCAGGTAAGACATTTATGCTGCAGATAACTGCGGGCGAGCTTCTCATGGAAATTCCAGGAGTGATATGAAGCAGAACTATGGTGGCAACCAGTCGACTTCATTTGTATAAACTATTTGATAACTGGAGCAGTGGACAGAGGTGGCACAGTATCATTTCCTGTGTCAGCTGATGTTTCTAAGCTCTTCAGAGATAGGTGCCATGTTACTTTGGGCCACATTAACGACTGGGAAATGAGGAAATGTCATCTAGATCATTACACCATTGTAGGAAATCTTCCATAGTCACACACACACACACACACACACACACATTCATACGTATATATAACACAAACATAAACCCTCAAAAACTCCTGAACAGGCAATAATGACTGTGTTAGCAGGTGAAGGATCGAGTGCTGTTCGTACAGGAAGTTGCATAACCGAACTGTGACAGATTTGCAATATTATGCCTATGCTGTTACTCCATAGGATCTAGATTACCCTGCAGTTTAGCTCAAATCCTAATTTAACATACTTGATGTTTAAGATAACAGCATACATTCTCATACTACGGTGTAAAATAAACAATAATATACAATAAAGTAAACTGGTCCATAACACTTGTCTCATTATGCTTGAACCATACCCCATCAAAGTTCTCATAATTTTTCCAGTTTGTGTATGCATGTATGTGCAGTAACAAACAATCAGGCATTAGTGTTGTGCACATATGCATATATAAAACATAAGTAAATGAGAAAAATAAATAATGGCGAGAACTTATATTTACACTGGGCTGTTGGCAGTGACGTACCATGTGGGTTTCCTTGCTGACCACCCATTGGCTGTATGCATATTAGAACACGGCCTGTCATTGGTAGACATCAAAGCAGTGGACATGCCACTGATTTTAGGGGTATGCCACAAATACCTTAGGACATCCCAAACTTCGTTTGAGAATGAAGCATGGGGAAAGTCGCTAGCCGGTCACAGAGCGGTTCTAGGTTGCTGTTGTTACTAACCTTCATGAAGCTTTGAGAATCTGGGCTCGGGGTAGTAGCACCCAGGCACCCAGATCTAATTTCTAGCATGTGGTTGCTTTAAGACTACTTTTAAGGAAAGTAAGTTTTCCCTTAAAACGTCCTCATAACAGAGCAGTAAAATGGTTAATGATGCATCTGTGTTGCTTGTTATTCATACTGTTATTCAGTATTGTAGTGTATAAAAAAATGTGAGATTTATTGTAGCGTTGCATTTTGACATTGGCTGTTTATTTAACCTGAGCTGTATCTAATAGACAGCATGCTCTTTGTGTGTGTTTGTTGAAGCCAGTGGAAGCTCAACCCAATAAAACCCTGTTGAAGCTGGACTTTAGTGAGAGTTAAGATTCAGATACATGCTATTTTAGTGGAGCAAAGATCATTGTTTATTGGACAACAGGCATTAACAACATAAATTTGGGTCCTGTCTGGATGCCAGGCTGCACTGGGAGTCAATTAGTCTCGCAGGTGCTTTTTTGCATGTGAAAATTGTCATGCATTTACTATACTTGAAGCTTTTACTAATGTAAGTTCATCCTCCTCAAAACCTTCTGTACATGTCAATTTGTGGAGCTCTCAAAGGGACTGGGTATTGTAATAAAATGCTGGTACACTGTAATGCACATGACAGACATTGACTCATGCTTAAAATAGTCTTTGAATGAATACTTGCTCAAAAAGTGTTCTTGAACTTGGTGGTTTTTATGGACTTTTGCCATCATTATTGGGAAATTGTATTGTAAATAAATAGTAAATATAGATTTCTCTGCTGGTTGATTTTTATTTGCCAAGTTAAATGTTACCAGTGAGGCATTTAGTAGCTTTTGTGTGTAATTTAGCAGCTATACTAATATACTAGCTATACTAATATACCAGTCCTGTGTGCTTTTACAGGGTTAAAATGTTTAAAAAGGCACACAATAATTCTGTGTAGTTAATTACATTATTTAGAACTAGAATAAAATAATTTATCATTTTATAATTTCTTATTATGCAAAAAATATTCCAAAAATGCGGACTAAAGCATCTAAAATACTTTTTGGTGTCAAGTTTATAATATTTAAATCTATATTCATCCACTACTATCAAATATAAAATAACATTAGATTCTAATATGACAAGTAATACAAAGTTTTACACAATAATTTGAGTACTAGATTATGCCATTCATCATCGCCATCTGTGCTCTCAGAAAGCATCATCTGCCACGGTGTTCTAGTAGTTGAGATACTAGCTAGAATAATATAGCTAGCATAATAATATTTGATAGCTTTGCCTTTAAAACTGTGAGGGGATCTCAGTACGTATCATTAGACATTATTACATGCCTTGTAATAGGTCCTGTAGTTGCACTTCAACTTTGTTTTTTATTATGTTGATTTCCCCATTGTCATCAGTGCAAAGTGGTTTGATATCTCCTTTTTATTTAAGTCATGGCCATGTCCTTCTGTCTTTGCATGCATGGAGTGTTTGTGTTTGCACACAGCTGCAGAAGCTTATCACACAGCTTATTGAACTGCACCACAGCAGGCCTCTGTACACAAAACATGATCTGGGGCTGAGCTAGCCAGAAATTACAGTAATATTACTGAATGACTGCCATTAAAACGCTTATGGTTTGGAAACAGACAATTAGGGCTATGTTGATGTGTCTGCCTGCATTTGCTTGAACCTGTAAAAAGCCATAGACTAAAGAAGTTGTTTAGTGTTTATGCCTGACCTGTTGCAATTAGATCCACACCTAATCAGCACCTTTTAAAGGAAATAAGCTGTTTAAATTAAACACAAGTAATTGCTTAAAATGAATAGGTGGTAAACAGTTGTTTAATTATAATACAGTGTTTTAACCAAGCATATAGGTCTACATGTTTACAATAATCTTGTTTTGGCCTCCTTTCACTTCCTGTTTCACTTGAATTAAAAAAAAACAGTAACGTATCATGCATGTAAATTCCTTTTGTCTTGCACGTTATGGGGAAAACCAAAAAACTTGAAAAGCAAAAGAGACAGTTGTTTACATTTCAACTCAGGCAAGCTAGACAAGCTTAACATGCCTTATGTTCAGGTTAGTAGTGTTATGACTTGTAGGAAATCATGCATATGAATAATATTGAAGTGCTCTCCATGCTTACATGTTGTTTTAATGCTCCATGACCATTATTATCCATAGTAGAAAATACAATTTTTTTTCCTGGCCAAAGCAGATTATTGCAGCAGCTGTTAGAAAAGGAAAAAGGCCAAAGATTGTAAAAGAAATGTTATGTGGAACCTTAATGTGATATATTTAAAAATAAATAAATAAATAAATAATTTGTAGTAGGTAATTTCGTTTAGCCTGTATGTCCCTGTGCCTCATTAAACCCTGAAGTTTACTAAAATATGGGTGTATGTTCGTTTGAACCATTTTAACAGGGCTTATTTGTTAATGCTGGCTGCTCTTCTTTTTTTTTTTTCTTCAGAAAGTGAATGCAAATCCAATGGCCAGGCGAAGAAAGAGAAGAGAAAGCCTCCAGGCACGATAGAGTACACAGTAAGTAAATATTCTTTTTTGTTTTGGACATGGACATGTTCTTTACCAAGACAGGAAAGCTGTCTGTTTTTAGAATTATTTGTTTATGTAACTATGTTTTATTCCATTCCAAGCAACATGTTTACATTTCAGAAAAACATGTTTGAGAGGAAAAAACAGAGAAGGAGCCAAAATAAGAGGGACTGATGTTCAGACTGCGGTGGGATACTTCCAGAATCAGATTGTACAGACCGAGCATAGAGAAAGCGAAGTCAGTTAAAAAAAAAAAACACTGCTATTTTCATTACAAAGCGATACGTATAAGGCATAGATGCTCAGGACTAGCTTTCTCTCTAACCTATTGTAACTAGCAAAGATACTTTCTCTGGATAGACAAAGCACTTTTTGTAAGTTGCTCTGGATAAGAGCGTCTGCTAAATGCTGTAAATGTAAAATGTAAAATGGATGCATGGGTACACGAGACGCCAGTATGCCAACAATAAAAACTCCTATTCAGGTATTTGTGCTTCATCCCAGGAAGACGAATTCTGCCTGCACTGAATAATGTTGCCTTCAATCAGTTGCTGTAGCCTTTCAGCAACATTTGCATCAGTCCTTGTAATCCTTATTTATTGTAAAATTAGGCAACAGCTCAAGGTTAATAGTCCACTAAGTCATCTTCTTAGCTACTTCGTACTTTAGCCTCACTTTGCTTTTCAAGCATTGCTCTGATTCCTGATTGCCATCTTGAAATCCAAACACTGTTATTTCCAAACAAGCCTGACTAATGATTAGCTTAACAACATTTTTTGTTAATATTTTCTATAAAAATGTGTGTCTACAGGTGGGCCCTAATGACACCTTGAACGGTATTGCACTAAAGTTTAACATCACCCCAAATAAACTTGTGCAGCTGAACCGCCTCTTCTCTCGCAGTGTGGTCCCTGGTCAGGTGAGTTTTCTGTGCAAGTCCTGGATTTACAAAAGACTCTTGGCACTTTACCTCTTGCTGTATCTCTGTCCTTTCTTCAAAATTCCCAATGTTGCAAGGTCATAGCATAAGCATTATAGCCTTATGACAAAAATACAAACACAGATGCTGGGTCACACTCATTCATTCTTTCTGACTATCCTTCACATTCAGATTACGATTACTGTGATACTGGTTTTTTGGCATCTCAGTTCCTCCATATGGTGACAGACCTGATATGGTGATCAGATCTCTTCCATGAATTTTTTATTTTTTTTTGTACAGAAACTCTTTGTTCCTGATGTAGGCCAGTCAGAAACTGGCTCCTCAGACAACACTTCCTCTGATTCAGTCAACAAAACGGCATCGCAGAAAGATTTACAGGTATAAGAGCTTAGTTCTTCAGAAGCATTTATGCAGGGCATGTTATCTTAATTTACTTTGTTTGCTGTTGAATACTTTGCCAGCAGGCATTTGCCATTTTTACATCATCTTCTTTAATCTTCTTCAAAATTTATTAGTAATCAGCATTCTTGCTGTATGTTATGTAGAATGGCAAATCTAGCTGCAGATCTGGGACACAGCGGCATCGGGAACTCTCTCCACCCTCAGAGGACGAGAGTCCTGCTACTGTCAAATTCCTCAAGATGAGCTGCAAGTACTTCACTGATGGCATGGTGAGAAGCCAGACTCAAGGTTTTAAAAATTAGATAGTTATACTTAATCCAAGCAGACAGCATAAGAGGGTCAGTTGTGTCTTCAAATAATCTCCAGCCATAACTTGAATAGCTTTCTGTGACCTCATCTAGTAAACTGCAGTGGCCTGATCTTGGATGATATGAAGCCTTTGCTGATGTTCCTCAAACATGACCCTCCTTATGCAGCCCTGCTGTAAATCCTAACTGTATTTGCTTTGCTTTATTTTGATTATTCAAAATCTCAACTAACATAGTGGAGCTGGGATTTGAACTAGAAATTTCACTGCTTTCTTGCTCGTTTTACAGGGAGTAGTGGGTGGTGTGATGATTGTGACGCCCAACAACATCATGTTTGACCCACACAAGTCGGATCCTCTGGTCATTGAGCATGGATGTGAGGAGTACGGACTCATCTGCCCCATGGAAGAGGTGCTCTCTGTGGCTCTGTATGACGACGTGTCCCGCATGAAGCTCAAAGACGCATTGCCATCGTAAGCAGCAACTGCTTCTCTGACTGTTCTAGCTTCCTTCATCCATTCTGCCTGTTTCATGTACTGCAGTGTTTATAATGTCAAGCAATATTTAGCGGATAATTATGTACTATGCAGTAGGCTTTGGTCACTTTGCCAAGCATATTACTGTCAGTCTCCTCTGTTTCATTTATTCATATTTCCATTCCCCCCTTTTCCTTGCTATAACCTCTTTTAATAATTACGACTACACATGCATTTTACTACATATTGTGGTTCTTTTATGTTTTTTTTTTTATTTTATTTTAGTATATCAATTTATTCTTTTTTCTTATTAATTTATGTTGTTTACATCTTTGTCATTAGTTTTACTTTATTTTTTCCTAAGTTTATTACATTTTGCTTTAGTTTTCCTAAGTTTGCAATTTGGTTTTCCTGAGTTTGTCCTTCATTTTTAAGTTCTCTTGTTTTGGTTTTTTTCTCTCTTTAATGTTCCCTATCACCTTCACATGATGACAACTGTTTCCACGGTAGCGACATGCCTCAGGAAATGTGTCCATTATACAGGCCAGGTGAATGGGTGGAGCTTCCATCCGAACATGACCTGAACCCATTCAGCCGCTACGAGGCCCTTGGGCAACCTAACCGTCCAATCGTATTAGACGACATTGAGACGACAGTTTCAGAGACAGCAGAATGCCACCCTGCCGACAAGTCGCCATCGGACGAAGGATTTACTGAACTGGAGCTTGTGCAGAATGACTCTGGAACAGAGAACGGAAGTGCAGAGATGTCTCACAACAAGCAGAAAACTGCCAACATCACTTGCCTCAGCCTGGAGGGGGCATCATTGCAGGAGGTGAGTGACTCTGAGGAGGCAAAGGTGGTAATATGGCCCCCCTCAGATGAAACGGTGAAGGCTGTGAGGTCATGTGACAAAGACCAAGAAGAGGAGGAGGAGGAGGACGAAGGACTTCATAATCGTTCCACGGATGAAAATGTGGAGACAGATGGGAACAAACCCAGCACACTGCATGGTGGAACAGAGCTTAATGAAAATGGACACATAATTACTACATCAGATGAGGTGAAAGATACAAAAAAGACTGGGATGCAGATTCCTACTCTTGAATCTTCTCAGATGGAAGTAGCAGCTGGGGACCACATGGGATTGGTAAGCCCTGGCAATATCGCTGAAGAGAATTGTAGTTCTTCTGGACCACGCCATGAAGAGGACAAGGAGACAATCAAGGGACCAAACTCAGAGCAAGAGCTGTCAGAGAGGGAGAAAGAAAGACAAACAAATGAAGCAGAGATGAAGTCATGGCTGCTGAAAAGGATGCAGGGACCAATCGAAGGTAAGCAGCTCATGAAAAGGCCACTGAATGTTACGATGCTTCTCACCAACTATATTTGATAAAATACAAATTATAGCTTTTACTGCCAGAAACTGTTATAAACGAGATAGTAGGAGATGTATAGAACAGCCAGAGCTCTCTTCACTCGGCACAGACTGACACTCACAGGAAAAACAAACACAGTCAGAGACACTTGCATGACACTGAAAACATTGCCTTCTAGTCACAGGTAATTTGATTAAGGGGATTTTTTTCTCTCCCTCTGTAATTAGTCACAGTCTGGTCTTTCTCAATTGGATATGGTCGAAGTCCTTATGGTTAAGTTTGTCCACTTGGCAGTAGTTTTGCCAAAGCCCCTAGGCAGTAATTTCATTTGATTTTTTTTAAATAACAGACAATAATATCTATGGTTGTTGGCTCAAATCATACATTTTTTTATTTTTTTTATTTATTTTTTTTTCTTGGTTCTTTTGTAGCGTATCTTCACAAGGGCGGGGAGGGTGCTTTTTAACGCTTTAAAAGCATTTTTTTGTTTGTTTTGTTTTTGTGGGGGTTTTTTTCTTTAATTAATAATTAATGCACAATGTCCTGTTATACAAGCAATATCTTGAGCTTTACAAGCGATCCCACCTGTATTTCAATAAGTGAAGTCTTCAGTCTCTTTCTCTGATAATGTCTCCATGAGTAGAAAATAGTTTGTGAGACTGACTTGATGTTGTTCTTTGATTTTAATGGTTGATGCCTTTTATAACAAAAGTAAAGACAGATAAAAATTACAGATGGTACCAATAGGCAGATGTCATCAGAAAATTCTGGATTGGATGTCAGAGGAAAAAGAATTATGAATTCGATCCAATCCTGTAACAAATCTATCCTGAAATAGCGTGCACACACACATTTTGTGATGTCATATTTGAATAGTCTGAGTGTGATGGCTTACTTTTAGATGCTGTCTGTGCGGGGCAATATGTTGATATTTATTGTTACCGTGATAAATTGTCATGTCACAGTGTGTTTTCCTTGAGTATGTTGTGCATATATTGTCAGAACATTGACAGCTGCATGTTTCATTCCATAGAGAGCACAGTTAGGCCAGTTTAGCTGGATTTGGTGCATATGAAATGTTGACTAAAACCCTTTCTATTCACAGCTTTTGATAGAATTTTTAAAATTGTGGTTATTTTGTCTGTTCCATGTCAGACATCAGAAAAAAAAATTTACTTCAATTTAAAATGGCTTATTTTAAAACGTGTAGCATCACTTTTTAAATCAAACATGTGTCCTCTTGGCAGACATGCTACTTTCCACAGAGGAGAAGAGCAAGAATCCACCCATGTTTCTCTGCTTCAGAGTGGGGAAACCCATGAGGAAATCTTTTGCTGTTGGTCGGACCTCTAGTCCTGCCCACCCATTTGGAGGCAGGGGAAAGCAACCAGAGTACTGGTTTGCAGTACCACAGGAAAGGTAAATTTTTGTGTTTGTGTATATGTGTGATTATTTACTTTGTCTTTCAAATTTGAATGTCTTTTAACTGAGCTGTTCTGATTTTTTTAGAGTGGACCACCTTTACTCATTCTTCATCCAGTGGTCTCCTGATGCATATGGAAAAGATGCACAGGAGCAGGGCTTCGTGGTTGTAGAGAAAGATGAGCTTAATATGATAGATAACTTCTTCAGTGACCCAGTACCACGAAGCTGGGAGGTGAATGGATGTGACTTCTGCATCATATGGGTGTTATTGGTTCCCCTTTTTTTGTTGGATATTACATGTCATTTAAATGTTCCCTCAGATTATCACAATCAATGAAGCAAAGAGGAGGCAGAGCTTTGGCAGCTTTGAGGATGAGGAGCCTCTGGACTTGCTGCCTATCCTGATGGACCCCAGCACACTACTTGAGGACACACACATCGAAAAGGTTTTAAAGAAGCACTTGTAGACTTCAGCTTACACTGCTGTCAATACATTTTAGAATTTCAGTTTATTATTCTTTTATTAAGTATGTAACGCAGTGGTTTAGTTGACAGGGACTCATGATTGATAACTCCTTCAGTGACCCAGTACTACGAAACTGGGAGGTGAATGGATATGAATTTAGACTTCTGAATCTTATGGGTGTTATTGGTGTTAAGGTACTGTAGGGGGAGCTGTAGCTCAGTTCTTGCAGCAGTAGTCACAGTAGGGGGGAAAAAAGAACACTTCTCAAACAGATTGGAATTTGATGCTTAGGAAAACTGACTTTACCTGAACCATTGTGCTGTGTCTGTGTAACTCTAATCGCACTTAAACTTGATAAGAGCATGAGATTCTAGCTGTATGCCATTTTGGGTGTTTGTTGGTTGTTAGCTGCCTTACTAGCTAATACAGTATTATTACTAGCACCTACTCTGCACTTGTGGAAAAAGTGATTGCCTAACATTTATTTTTTTTATTACATTTTTTTTTCTGTGGCTGTTTAGAGTAGGGCTATGAAAACTTTGGTATTCATTCAGTGGTCTTGCAATACTGGAAAGGCTGTGTCTTTGTTTGTCTACATTAAACATATAAGGTCTTTCAAAATTATTATAAGCGTAATTCGTTTGTGCAAAATGCCATGATACATGCAAACTGTTTGTTTGCGGTAGGTTGAGAGGTGATTATAATCTATTATCTAAATATTTCTTATTCATTTTTTATGAAAATTTTTTTATTTTTAATGGAAAAAATGTTGTGCTAATTACTTTTACATCTTTCATAGTTTTTTCATAGAATTCCACAGTGCAACTAGAAGTCCTACACCAATAAGATTGAGAGCACTTTATTTTCCTAAATACTTCTCTGATCAGTATGAATTACTCTGAAAACATTTTTACATATCGGTCTTAAAGCCATCACAAATATTTACAGTTTTATTGCAAACTTCGTCACTGCCAACTCCCACCCCAAAAAAAAAAGTAAAACGAACTGAAAAGATCCCATACACAAAAGGAGAGTGCAAATGCTGCCTCAAATATCAAGAAAAGGTACTGCAAAATCAACCATTTTAGCCTGTAACACTCACAAAAAAGCTGCAAGATCCTAGTGGGACTGGTTTAGTTACAACTCTAGTTTAACACACAAGAACATAGTATTTATATAGCATAGAGAATGGGTGTTTTTGGTAGGATCGCAGCTAGATGTATGCTTATGGTTAGGTTTAGGCCTAACCAGCCGCATAAGATCATTGCTTAGTAAAATAATCTGCTGAACCATGAAGTATGATGTCTCTCAAAAATAGCCAAATGGGACTCGTTTGCTCATATTTATATGATGTTGTGTTGACCTCTAAAGCTGGCTGCTCGGCTTCCGGCCCGGGTTCAGGGCTATCCCTGGCGATTGGCCTACAGCACGGTGGTGCATGGAACCAGCCTGAAAACTCTGTACAGAAATCTAGGGGAGGTGGACTGCCCTGTGCTGCTGGTCATCAAAGACATGGACAACCAGGTATAAACGTAGACACAAAATAACTGAGACATAGCTTCTATTGCATGATAAGACCAGATACACAACTATATGTGTTCTGTTGAGTAGACACAGGTAATACAGTTGAACTGGTGGCAAGTTACAGTGAAACCTAATGCTGTTGCTATTTGTTTTGTTTGTATTCTTGCTGCAGGTTTTTGGAGCTTTTTCCACTCACCCGTTCAGAGTTAGTGAGCACTATTACGGCACAGGGGAGACCTTCCTCTACACTTTCAGCCCTGAAATTAAGGTGTGTTTATGTTATAGCTTCTTGTTGCCTCTACAGCAGCGTGACGTCTTCTGAAAAGTATTCCTTTGTACATCAACTTCTATTTGCAGTTTTTCAATTTATCTGATTGGTCTTTTTCACCTAGTTAGCTTTGTGGTAATCAGCTTTATGTAATGTAATGCACAGTGATTGAACATTTAAATTCAAAAACTGCCTTTCGAACAAGTTTATACAAAAATAATTTGTAAGGCTCACTTTTTTAATTCCAGTACACTAACTAGGTAGAACTACCTTCCTTTTACTGTGTCTTTGCAGTGAGAAAATCAAATGCAGTGCGCCAATGACATTACTTTTCATTAATGCCCATCATAACTTAATGACTGATCACTTAGGAGTACTAATGTCTATTTATTTTTGAAAGATGTTTTGCTGGACTGGAGAGAACTCCTACTTTGTGAAAGGAAACTTGGACTCTCTGCAGATAGGAGGTGGAGGGTAAGTTTAAATTCATATTAGGTTGGTAAAGTTGGTAACTTGGTCCAATTTATTAATTAATTAATAAACTCTGAGCTATTTAACCTCCATTGTGTCTTGCTAGGGGTCACCTTGGTCTGTGGCTAGACGCTGACCTGTATCATGGCACAACTTCCAAATGCTCTACCTTCAACAACCAACCGCTGTCATCACAACAGGACTTTACTATCCAAAACCTGGAGGTCTGGGCCTTTGAGTGAGCTTGTCTGCACGTATACGCAAACACATACATGGATATACCAGTACATCCACATACTGTGAGAAATACACAAACACTTGCATTCAGCTCATGGCATGTAATATAACAAGTCAAAACATGCTCTATGTAACGATTTTATCTCAATATAGGTGGCTGTTTGGATTTACACTGTTCCAGGTGGGCACTAATTTTGATGTAATAACTGTTAATTGTACAAGTTTACCAGTTGGTAATCAGATGTTTTTACTGTGGGTTAAACCAGGCTGTATTTGACTGCTTTATACATTTAAGCCTGGCCTAAGCTGCTGTGTTGGTCTGAGCTTGTTTAGACTTAAGGGAATGGTAAGAGAGAAGCAGGCTTCTGTCTGTGCCTCACTCAGACTGCCTTAATGTCGCACACCACCCTCACCTGTCCCAGCATGCAATAGTGTACACAAATGCTCTGCAAAAATATAACCACTGCTTAGAAGGCTGTGACAGCAGAGGCTATATGTGTCATGTTGCATTACTTTAGGAACGAGTTGAAATTTTGTGCAAAAATTCATTTGTAAAATCTTGTGGGTTAGCCAAGCAGGGATGATGCTGTTTACAGAAGGGAATTGAGGCCAGTGAAGCAGGAAATGTTGTGTTTTGGTTTTTTGTTGTTTTTTTTGTTTTGTTTTGTTTTGTTTTGTTTTGTTTTTGTTTTGTTTTTTTTGGCTCTGAAGACAGAGTGGCTTGACTGAAGGTGACTAGTAAGGATGCTGTCCATATGAAAGATTCCATTTGAGAAAAGGGAAGCAAGAAAACCATTGTCTTTGACCAAAGTGTTTCATGTAGTTTTCATGTAAATTTATTTTATTGTTTGTGTTTTTTATGTTTTGAAATTAAATCTTTTCTTTTTTAATGGAATGTTGAACATAATCCCTATATGTGAGAACTGTCACTTTTGGTTTTGTATGTTTTTGTGATTTGTTTGGTCAACATTGAGAGAGTGTGAAAGCACTTACTGGAAGTAATGTCAGTATTATATTGTGTCACTGTTAGCATTGCTCCCTATTTCACTGGTAGTGTTAGAGAGCTTTCACATATAGATTTCATACACAAATAGCAAAACCATTTCTGGGAAGGTGTCAAAGAGGTGTTAAATAGAAAAATGCTAGCCTTGCTGATGATGAGGATTGAAAGCTAACAGTGGCCAGCTGGCACTATTCTATAATGCTAACTAGTTTTCATCCATGGGTAGAAGGGCTGCACAATATGGACCATAAACCAATTACTACCTGTTGTGATTGCATATAGTTGAAGATTGGCCGGCAATGTTTGACCAAAATCATCGTTTTGATGGATCATGTAAATGCCTTGACTCTTCTGAACACCCTACTCTACACAATAAAACACTGTGATTGATAAGCTCATTTGCATTTCGCAGTGGAGTGCCAGTATCTTGATAACGATTAACAAACAGTGTATGTTGAAGCCCAAATGGTTAGCTTTGTTAGCATTTTTAGTTAAGAACTTATCCTATGACATGCCCTTTGCTCAAACAGATTTGCTTATTTCTGGCTATGAAATATTACATTTAAATGTAAGAAGCACCATTGCATTGGCACGTGTGAATGTTATACTGTTACTTCTTTTGACCATGTAAAATTGCAAATAGAAGCTAACATGTTGAAATGAAGTGTCGTTGAGCCTGTATCACTTGATTTTGCCAGGTTTGCAAGAGGGAGCCAAAGTGAAGTTGAAAATGGGGAGAGAAACAGATTTGTAAAGGGACAGTCTTTGTCACGTGGTTCATGATTGGGTCCTATCACTACAGTCCTATGTGTCTTTTTGTGGTTAGCTAGCCTATCGGTGTCTTGAGTCCTCCATTACCTTCGACTAACCTTCAGTTTACTCATTGTGCTTGGTCATTTCATTTCATTACAAGACAGCAGCGTGCACACTAACTACCCACTGGCTCATGTTAAACAGCCCTCTGTATGTTTAAATGCCCCATGTATAGGGGAAAAATTGTCTACAAAACATTTCACTTTAAATGTTCCAAAGAGTGTTTGTTTCTGTTAAGCTCTTTGAATCCAAAACTTATTGATGTCCAGTTCTATGTAGTTATCACCATTGAATGTTCTATTTATTGTTGCTATGTTGGAGTGAATTAAATAAAGAAATAAAGCGTAATGACACTCATTTATTTGTTGTTTGAATTTTATTTTTTGGTCTTGTTGATGGTATAATTCCAGAATAATGCTTAAACTGTTAAGGAAAAACAAAGTGTCAACAAACAAACTGATTGATATATGTAGACCTATGTTAATGCTAGTCTGAACACAGATTTCCACAAAGACTGAAAACATTTTTGCATTTTCTCAGTTGACTCCATGAGCCTTGGCAGAACATTACAACAGCAGTTAGATTTAATTTATTCAGACTTTTGTCACTGCTGTTTGCTTGCATCCTCAAATCACCTTGTTTGGGTTGTTTATAATGAACAAGAAAGAATAACGTTGCCAACTGCTGAGTTGCTGTTGCTAAGCTTCAGGAAACAGAAACGTTATAAAGCTGATATGAGTAATAAAGTAATAAGAGAGCTGAAAAATGTCTAATATCAGCAGATGGAAGTAAATAAAAACATTCTTTCTAGTACAAACTTTAAAAAAATCTTATGTATTCTAGTTCTATGAAACAAGTCTGCTCCTGTATTCAGTCAGGTCACTCTCCCTCTTGAGTGTACCCTGCTCTACAGACTGGGTGGAGAGAGGCCAGTCCTGCACAGTGTTGCCATGGGACTGATGGGGGCTGTTGGAGGGGTAGTCCAGCTGCTGGGGAGGCAGCTGGTCCCAGAACAGTGGTGTAAGCTCGTGAGCCCTCATGTGATTTGTGCTGCTTTGCTGGCAGAGGAGGAGCAGTTGGCGAGCAAATAATGGTTCCACCTGCGTGGGGAGAGAAAAAAAGTTGCTACTAATAGTCATGTTAGCACAGTGTTTCTCTAATTCAGGCAATGCGTGTTTCAGTCGTATCACAAGTTATCACATTAAAAGAAATAGTTTTGCAAAAAATCAAGTTTATTTGATTTTCTGCTTACCCTAAATGCAGTTGATCAGCCAAAATGTTTGGTGTGCAGATTTTGCTTCTTTAGTTTAGAATCTTCAGGGTTAAAGGTTGGTGCATTAGCAGTTATACCAGAGATAGTTAATGAGGAGCCTAGCCTCTTCCTATTTCCCCCGTTATATCAGAAACAGGACTGAAGAATTCCAGCGGGTGCCCGCGAGCAAGTTCTCAATAAATGGGGTGAATAGAGCTAAATGGCTAAAAATAAACAGTTAAAATAGTTTCTAATCACTTGCCCAGAACTTGCCTTAAATTTTAGAAAGTAGAAGCTTGTATTTCACAAAAAAAGCAAAGAAAACTTACCTGTATTTTTCTTAGTTTCTACAGCACATGGGCTTTTGGCAGCAGGACACTAGTATTACTGCTACTGAGTTCTGCTAGCAGAGCAGCTCATTGGCTGTTCGCACTCACTGACACGATGAACACTCATAAGGCACTGTTTTAAACTCCTACAACTTGAGTTCAAAAACACTCACAAGTATAACAGTGGTGTTAAAATGTTTTTTGCTGTTCTATGTTCAGGAAATGAATGTATTCTTTCCTAGTAAAATGTTTAAGCATTTATAAACTATGATTTTGCTGAAATACTCAATCTCAACCCAGTCATTTTGGACTTGCTCAGGAGCACCCTCTAGTGTTCGAAAAACCCAAAAGACAGAAATACAGAGTGGTAACTCTCCTCTCTACAAGTTCTCTTGTTATACATGAACTCCAGCATTTAAGCAATTTATTGTTAAAACTGTGTTTGAATGCTTATTAAAGCTTTATTTTACTGAAAAGCATTATTTTACTGTAAAGGAGGATATACTGTTTTATAAAAAAAAAATCTAATTCTACTGTGGAGCCACAAGGGGGCGGTAAAAGATCCATATGTGGCTCCGGAGCCACATGTTGCTGACCCCTGCCTTAGGTGTTACTGTGCTAACACTACATACCCCTGTAGTGACGTTTTTACACCCTGAGCTCCAGCCTCCTAAAGCTTAAAAGCGGAAAGGTATCGGAAAGCAGTAAGTGTGTACTTAAATGTGTAAAAAGGTCTATCCATGCCATTTTACTAAAACTGTTTTTTTTAAAACAAGTAGCTTTAGCGATGTAATCTGAAGCAAATATGAAGTTGTTTTTTGCAGTATTAGTGGAAACAATTTGTCAAAGTATTTGGGGTATTTGGGGAGGCTATTGACTTTTAGTGTTTGTTACCATTAGCCTAACAACTTCAGTTTTGATATAAAAAAGAAGCAAAATGTAGACACCAAACATGTCTTGGCTGATCAATCACATGTGGGGTAAGGAGAAAATCATGTACATTTTTCATATAACTAAACATGTAATAGGATTGCTAAAATGCTTAGAAATCTTGGTATTTTAACACTGGAAAATTACACTAGTTTCATTGAACAGTACTATAATTATTCAGTTCCTCAGTTCCAAATACTGGTTTATGCATTTCCAACTACATAGCAGCTATACCTGCACTGTTATGGGCCTCCTCTGGGTATTGTGGCACTCCTCAAAAAACAACAGCACCTGGAATCGGGGCAAAGGACGCGCCTGCAAATAACAGGCCTGTAGCTCTGAAAGAGAGAGAGAATGAGAATGGTCATGAATGCGAGAGGCCATTCTTCCTCTTTTTCTCTCATCTGCACACTGCTGGAATCTGGGGACTGCCACCTGAGCAGCAGAGCAGGGGACACAGTTGCGCTCTGGAAAGTCCAAGCTACGTTTGCATATCACCTAACAGTACTCCATCACCCTTCTGGGAGACAGAGGGTCAGTTGTTGTATGAGTAGTACTTTTTCCACTGAATTACAGAAGAAGTAATGAACAGTGTCTCTTTCTATATTTAGTATCTCTTTCTATATTTATTTATTTTACAATTAACATTGTTACTTAAAATATAACATACAAATGTATTGCATCCAGCCTGTCCCTTGCGTCAATTTTGTGTAAAATGCAAAAACCTGCATTTTTTGGCTCTTTTAAGTCCACTTATAATGTTTATCTGTCCACTTATAATGTATTTCACAAGCTGAAATACACATAATAAACTCTAAGGTTTGGACTGAACTCCGCAGTGACAGAAAATAAGCAGTAACATCACTCTTTAATGCTCCTAAAAAGGCCTACTTTTTTTTATAACATTTGTGTGGGTTTATGTACCAAAACAGTCATAACTCATTTTAACATGGCCATTTTCCAACCTCTCTTTAAAAGGCTGTTTTTGTTACTGTGGCTTTAAGATTAATATATGTAAATGGCCTCTGTTTTGATAGGTTGCCTTGTATAGCCTCTTATTCAAAAAGCAATTCACACTGAAGCACTCCTTATAACCCCAGGATGAATGGTCGGAGCTGAACACATAAATAATTGAAAATAAGCTTTTCTATATGTGGAATGTATGGACTATGGGTGAATGAAAAGATTTGAAAGTTTATGAACATCAAACTTACATTAAAAAAAAAAGTTTTCTATGAATTGTGCTATTTAAGCTGCTGTAGGCTGAATGGGAAGTCGCATGTAAAGCTTTTTGCAGTGTAGCTATACGCAGTGCTGATTGAACGGTACATTTTGAACCTTTAAAAATAATTACATCAAACTCTTAAAATTTTATTTTTCATTATATATGCCCTTTAAAAGATGTTTTTGTGATTGTGCTAACCTGCGATGAATAGCTGAGTGTCCAGAAGCTTGCTGGTGTGGTCTCTTTCCAGTTTGTTGGGCTTGTCAGTGTAGGGGGCGTGTGCTCCCTCCCAGTAGACCCTGGCGTTGCAAAGACGACGGGCACACAGGCCTTCTGGAGCCATCCAGATCAAAACACCACGCTCCAGCTCACTGCCCTCACAATGTGGAAGCGGCACCAGTTCTGGCCCTGCTGGGCCTCCGTAGGCCTGGTTCTCCTCATAGGGAGCCAGTCTGCAGCCCTCCACACTGAATACGGTCACGTCTCTGACCAGAGAATCTCCACTGAACACACATACCTGTAGCCTGGGGTCTAACACAGGCAGAGGGATTAGAATGTACATCATTTTACATATAGTATTAGTAAGCTCCAGATCACATTCCTTTTGACCTTACTTCGACTTGAGCTGGACTAGCTATTATGCTATCTAGCATACTTGCTTAAAACTGCAGACTGACCAACTGTTTCAAGTTGTTTTGCCTTTTAGCTTTAAACAGGTTTTTAGTACAGCGACACAACAATGCTCTGCCACATTAATAAAATCACTTCTGACAGTGAGTGAGTCTAATCTTAAATGCTGAGCAGATTCTCAGTGCTGTGTTGTTTCATTTTATGGTTATATTTTAAATTATGCAAGTATGGAGGTTCATAATGTCCATAAATAAGTGTCAGGCATCTGATATCTTTTTATCATTTAATGTCACCATTATGTTTTGTTTCTTTGATAGCGTACATTTAACTCCCTTATCTGTGCACTGGACAATGCTTCCATCTGCCATGTTTTGTAGCTACAGCTGGGCAAAAATGTATTCCACTCAGGCCAGTGTCCAGACGTTTATGCACATTCTGGTGATTTGATTACATTTTCGCATCAAGTCTTTTTTTATTATTCAATATGTCAGAAATAGCATTAAAATAAATGGACGGAAACCTAGCCCATGTGTGAGTACCTGAGAAAGCCAGAGCCTCTGCTGATCGTAAGCTTGAGTCTAAGTTAAAGGGGAGTGGAGGAGGGTCAAAGGCACTGCAGCTGTAAAAGGAGCCACTGATTTGGTAACCTACACCAACACAACACCAAAAATTTTCATAAACACAGACTGTCAATGTGAGACAAAAAACTTCACATTTACATTATGTGCAGATTACATAATAAATGGTTCAAAGTTACATGCAATAAAAAACTCTTTACACCAATTAACATTAAAATTTAGCATTAAAAAATTATATTTTTTTCTCATGAAAAGACATGATATGATGACGTTCATTAAATTAACGCTAGGAAAATGCTTGCACATGCACATAAGCACATATAGAGTCAGTACCATTGTCCCAGTGTGGAGCGTATGAGTTTTGGTTGTAAGAAGAATGGATGTCCGAAACGTGAGTCTGCTCTGGCAGGATGTCTCTCCAGCCTCTCTCAGCTGGAGACAGGAAGTTACACACCTGTGCCAAAAACACACTCCGCATCAGACTGGTATGGGTCAGTTTCTTAGACAGGGATTAAACCTAGTCATGAACTAAAGAGCCTTCTGAATGGAGATTTTCTCTGGAAAGGAATTTGTAGTCTAAGACTAAGCTTATTGAGCGGGAACAGAGAAGTGGTGCGTGAAGTGGAATTTACCTGACTTTGCAGAGGGGTGTATGGTGGGTACGCTGGGTAGCTGTGAGGGCTTGTGAGAGTGGAAGCGCTCTCATAGGACTTTGACCCTGAGATACAACAACAGGGAGGAGAAGCGATTTACGTGGTGAAAGGGATTCAGATACAACTATAAGATTACAGGGTAGAATGGCCGGCTTTCCACCTGAAAAGGTGCAGCAGTTAACATGCTGGTCATTGTCAAGCGCCAGAATGTAACTACTGCTGTACTATTTTAAGGTGGAACGGAAAATTCGAATTCGAATAAAAAGCTTACAACCAATCTACACAGCCAGAGAAACAAAAGCACGAAAAGCGTGCACGAAAGCTAACGCGCTAATGTGCGCTCGCGCGTCCGCCAAGGACTAAAAAACTGAAGAAAAAAAAGACAGGAAGAGAAACTGGATTAAAAATATTTTTTAAATGTAATGCTACCACGATAGAAATTCAAACAAAAGGAGCCGACCAACCTCTCTTAGTGCCCTCTGGAATCACCCGATAAACTTTGTACGGGTCTGATGTGTCCAACTGGCTTCTCTCCACCAGCTCCTCGAAGTCGTTGCTCTTGTTGAGCGCGCAGCGCAGGCGCGTTTTCCACGTGGGGGGGTCAGGCTTGTCGATGCCCTCGCGGTATTTTCCCTTAAACAGCGCCCAGGCCTGCAGGGGACGGGACCAGAGAGCACACAGGGCGATCAGGATACTTTCACCTGACTCGTTCCTCATCATTTCTCCACATTTCCTGCATTTCCTGCATATGACTCACCTTAAAGAGCGCAGCGTCCTCGTCCCTGTTGTAGTCCTGCTTGCCCGCGTGCTTCCACGGGATGCGGAACACGGTCTTGTCGCTGTCCTCCCACACCAGCCCCGGATATTTCCCCCCGTCCACCTGCTCGATCAGCCACTGCCGCAGCTTACCGTTCCCGCTTAGCCCCGACATGCTGCGATACCGTCCAGCTAACCCGCTATAACTGAGCAGAGAGGAAAAGGTAGAGTGGTAATCAGGAATTAATTAATACAGTTTATTATTATTATTATTATTATTATTGTTATTATTATTATTTAATAATTATAACAACAACAACTAATAATAATAATAATAATAATAATAATAATAATAATAGCAATAATAATAGCAATAATAAAATAATTTATTCATTTGTACGCATAAATATATTTTATTAATAAAACATTTTATTAATAAAAAAACTACAATTACTGTTACTAATAATAACATAAATAATTACATAAAAAGGGATTAGTTATTAGTATTATTATCATTATTTTACCAAGAATGATGTCCTTACCTCGCCCACCAGATATTTTGACATTTGAAACTCATCTCGTTCCAATTTCACCCGCAACTTTCCTGATTATTTGCGTGCGAGAGGCGCAGCGTCATAGGCGCTCAGGCCGCGGCCAGATGTGCGCCAGTGGTTCCACGAAAGTTCATCACACACACACACACACACACACACACAAACACACACATATTCGCTCAACATGAAATTAGTCTACATGAGTTAAAGACTTTACAGTAGCTTTGAATACGTATTGTCAAAGTTAGCTAGGCCTATAACCATCTAATTGTCAGTGTGAATGTGCTGCTCCACTGCTGTGCTTTCTTGGGAAAGGGGCCTCTTTTTGTTATTTAAAAGAGGTACTGTACATTCCTTAGTCCTGACCTGCGTCTAAAACCACATACTATACTATACTAACTATACTATACATGTACTATATTGAAGAATGTGATAATGGTTAGTATGCGATTTATGCCTTGGTAAATAAAATGATTCTCTCACTTCTCAGGAATGGCCTGAAGGGCCAAATTCCCCCGACTGTGCTGAGAGCCAGGCTGACACTGCACATTTTCTGTTCAAAGTTGAGTCACATCTGCTATTTGATGCTAAACATTCGTTCAGAAATGACTAGACCTGAACCCTGAACACCCTGAGTCCTCAGGGACCTGAATGTTACTCAGCACTCAGCATTCACACACACACACACACACACACACACACATACACAGATGATGTTAGAATGTTTAGGTTGTGCATTGACAGTTGCAAAAAGGGCAATAGCAAACTATTTTTATATTAACAACTTTTTTCTGTTTTCCTCTTCATTCATTCATTCATTCATTCAATCATTCATTCATTCATTCATTCATTCATTCATTTGTTCATTCAATCAGTTGGACAGTCAGTCAGTTGGATTTGTGCCGATTTTGGAATAAATATGTTTCAGCACAAAAAAATAAAGGAACATTCTTGTTGTTTTTGTTTTACTGAGTGTGATCCCAGTAAAAGAATTGAAGTGGTCCATAAATGACAAGAAACTGGCAGATAGATGTTGAATATCATAACAAGCCTATGGTTTTACAGTATGTGCATAACTTGTAAAATTGGAACCGAAAAGATTGTGATGGTGATGTACAAAACATACCACTCTAAGAATATAACTCTTTGAGAATCAGCGGATTAAAAATAATGACTAGTTAATAGACAATATATTAACAGTTATACCCATTTTACTAACTGCTTTGGCCCGCAACCTAACCGCTGTCTCCTTCGTCCCCCTCCCTCTCCTGTCACCGAGTCATTTTCCCAGAAATCTGAACATCTTGCGGTTGATGGTCAGGTATTCAAATGAGCCGTACCCTCCCCCAGGCCACCTGTTCATATCTTTATGCTGTACATCTAAGATGCCCTTCAAAAACATGCTGAGTCAATACATTACCAAAGACTAACGTGTGATGTACTATTCTAATGCAATTGTCCCCCTCCCACAAGGCAATTAATCAGAGATACTCACTGCCATTATGGCAATGTATCATCAATGTTGAGTCATTATACAACCTGAACTGAAATTTTAATGATGATCTATGTATCTATTATTAAGTTTCTCTATACAAATTTTCAGAGACCCACATGTTGATTTCAGTTTGAACACACTCAGTTAACCTTCTTGTGCAAATCTAGAGGGGCTCAGAACGTAGGAAAATTGCATGTGTAGAAGTAGAATTACTTCCTCATGAATACATACAGACATACAGGACTGGGCAAAAGTCTTGGACACCTAAGCAAATGGTAGTAACAAGTACCAAGACTTTTTGTTTTCAGAAAAGGTAGCCAAGATGTTGTAAATTGGTTAGATTAGAGTTTGTTCCAGATTTCTCCTTGATGCCACCAGCCATTGCATGGATTTTTTTCAAATCCACCACCTGCACACCTAATTTAATATAATGAGGTATTGTTTAGCCAAACCAGGTATTGAATGATAACTACAAAAAATACTGGGCTTCATCAAACAGATGTTTGGAAATGAGAAAATAAACATATTAACATGCAGAAAATCTACTACTTTTGCATTAATGATTAATGCTATTTGTATTTATTCTAATAGTAGTGTTTTTCTAAACAAATAATCTACCCAGATAAACAGTACTGTATGCTCACAGTCAGCTGTATGTATGTATGTATATATATATATATATATATATATATATATATATATATATATATATATATATATATATACATATATATATATAGATATGTATAAAGAAGTTCAATGAAAACTCCACCAGTGTAATGCATTGGGTGAAATGGTTTCAGTGTATATTAACCATTTTGAAACACTGTCAGTACATTTTAACCATACTTATTATATTTAAAAAAAACTGTGATATTTTCCTTAATAATATTATGATATTATGATAGGAAACTTTCATATCATCCTGTCCATAATCAGCATAAGTTGTAGTTTCTATATATGCTGAATGCTCTAACTGATTGAACATAAAATTGTATCATGATTTGAAGATTTGTATCAACTACTTCCTTCCTAAAAGGCATATGCTTTTGGGCAGTCCCACATAATATTCATAAAAGTATCATGAGATTTATGGGTCTTCAAAAGGTCCAGCACTAGAAACACAGGGTAGTGATGTTATTACTCTCTATCTGCAGGCTTACTCCCAAGAACCCCCAACAGTTCTGGAATTTGAGTCGTCCACCATGCGGTCATCAGCCACCACCTACTCAATTCTATTCTTTTTTGTGTGTGCATATTTAAATGTTGTTTTTTACAATGAGTGTTGCTGCTTTACAGAAATGTAGGCCCAAGCCCCTAGTGAGCAAATAAAATGTAACAGCGGCATGGAAAAACTCCCTGTTAGCAAGAGGAAGATGCCTTGAGAGGAACCAAGACTCAAATGGGGAATCCTTCCTCCTTGATCGACACTGGATAGCAAAACAGCAATACCAATGCGAGTTATAAGAATAATGAAGAAAGAAACAAACGGTTTCATTCACCAACCGTTCCTGAGAAGAAAATTTTACTAAAATGCACAAACACAGTTTTCACAAAGATACTGACATTCACCAATGTTTTCTTCTTTGGCATTTATTCTTAGGTAACAAGAGCACAAAGATACAGACAAAGAACAGGTCATGAATCTGACATAGACTTTTTCATAGGACCTTTCTCAAGAACAAATGTAAGAAAAAATTAGACAGAATTCAGATTAACCAATAAAACTCAATGAGTAATGTAAGAAGCCTATCAGAGGTTATGTATATTCACATTACTTATCCCAGGGGAGCATCACTGAACAAGCATGAATGAAATGAAATGAAAAAGTCTGAAAATGATCTTAATAAGATATTCACATATTCATGTTCAAATATTAATTTCTGCCAGGGTTTTTCTTTTCAATTTAACTAACAAATAATACCCACTTCCCATTCCACCCCAACCTTTTTACAGCTGTAAAGCCAGCCAGTCAGAGTCCTTTCAGTGATAGGAAATCTTGAGTCATCATTAAGCAGGTGTAGGGTCCACTGGGATGTGCATGCAAGTCAATGAAGAGATAGATTCAACTACTTCCTTATTAAAAGGCGTATACTTTTGGGCAATCCTAAATAATATGCATAAAAGTCTCAAGTGTCCCATATGGAGAGATACAAGGGCGAGGACCCATTAAGTGTCTTACACTGGGTCTCAGCTATGCTCTGTGGCAGATTTTCACATGATTGTAATGAAGATTATGTGAAGACCCAAAGACATCATCAAATATGTTGTTTAATATATATATGGGGAATCTTCATACATACAGTACTGTGCAACTGTCAGAGAGCACATCGTTGTTTAATTAATTTGCAGTCATAACAGCAATTAAGTACAAATTATTTATTTTCCAATATCAGAAAAATGCAGAACACATTTTTTACAGAAAATCATACAAAGCTTCCAACACTATGTACAACTCTCAGTGTTCAATCTGTCCACTCTTTAATTTTGTGCTACTATCACTTTAATTCCTCTATCCTTCCAGTCTTAAAACTAAGTTACAGCTGTGTCCTCTCAACAAAAGCTATGGCCGAAGGAGTTATGTTCCTCTTCAAAGAGGCACTAACATTCACACAAGCAACTACTCAAACTCACCTTAGCTGCCTTGTGCATTTCTTTCTCCTGAGCATCTACAACGGCTAAAAGAGATTAGATATGGAATAATCCACTTGTATGAGGAATGGAAAATTAACACAATTGAATTTTCTGGTCTCTTGCATGGTCTTTTGCACATTACTGTAAATTTACATTTCTAAAAGAAAAAGTTATTTTGTTATTTAAAGTTATTTAAACTTTGTTATCTATTCACAAAAATGCACTCAGATAAAACTCTTTGATAAAGATCTCATACATTTTGACTATGTCCATAATGCAGTGCATAAAGCAGAACAGTGGGTAAGTGTTCTAAGAAATAAACTCCCTGAGTAAATACAGTCATATGCAAAATTGTATTACATATTTTAACACATCCTCTTTTTTGTCAGAGTTTAACATATTGGGGAAAATATTAAATGTGCCATAACTTTTGTACAGGGCACATTTTATGTTTTATTTTTCCCCAATATGTTGAATTCAGCACATAAACAG